TGGTGGAAGCTATAGGACATTAAGCAAGCAGCAGTCTCTATGTGGAAATAAACTTAGTGGTTATGTTCCAGTTGAAGGCTCCTGACTAGAGCTGGTCAAAACCTGAAATTTCCATTCCATGGAAAATTCTGACATTTCAAAAAAGTTTCCCTCCCAAGTCAGAACAAAAACTAAAAATTTCCTGTGGAAATTCCAAAAACTTTTTATTTTGGAAAATTCTAAACATTTCCATTTGATTTTTCCAAAATGGAACAAAGCAACTAGCTGCCCTCTACACCAGAGGCAGCCCAGGGAGTCCCCCACCACGGAGCAGTGAGTAGAGAAGCCCTTAGAACCTTGGCTCCAGCCAAGGGGCTCGGGCTCCCTCTGTGCAATTATGTGATCACATACTATTTTTTCAACAGGCTGAATGCATAAGGGGGCAACTCAGCCACCAAAGCTGTCTGACTTGGCACGGTGAACAGCACAGCAGGGTTTGTGTAGTCTATGCTTTGGGTCCAATTTACTCATGTTATTTTCAAAAAGAAAGCACACAATTGGCTAGCAGATAGGGTTCATGCAGATTTTCATGCAGTATGACACTGACACAAAATATGAACCATCATCACATGCTAATTCAATTTCTGTGCCCGACCCAGGATTTTTTAAAAACGGTCAACTGATGTTGGCACCTACTCCTAGTGGCAGTTCCAGGATTCCTGAGCGGGTCAGCAAATTTTTCCCAAGAGGAGTTCAAAAGATTGACCCAGATGATTAAGTACTGCTATGACTTCCTCTTCAGGATCAAGTCTGGCATCACACTCCATTTGGGTGAAAGCACCTAGAGTCAGCAATCTCTTAGAATCATAGAATATCAGGGTTAGACGGGACCTCAGGAGGTCATCTAGTCCAACCCCCTGCTCAAAGCAGGACCAATCCCCAGACAGATTTTTGTCCCAGATCCCTAAATGACCCCCTCAAGGATTGAACTCACAACCCTGGGTTTAGCAGGCCAATGCTCAAACCACTGAACTATCCCTCTCCCCTGCCGCTTCTGGGTGTTTCCAATGACTAATGTAAAGAAGGAAATGAAAAGCCTACTGGTGAAAACAATGGTTCCCATTGATATCCAGGGGAAGAAATGCCCTAGCAATTCCCTTTTTACATTTTTAAACAAGACCCTCATTAAATTTAAGTGTTTCCTTCTTCCAACATAAATGGAAAAGAAAACCAGCGCTGCCTAAGCCAGGGGGGCACCAGGGTATCCTCTTGCCGGGGGACAGATGCCTGGTGTTTTGCTTGTGGAAAAAAGGGGTAGAGATGATGATGCTATGTATGATGATTGTCTCTCCAGCCAGCATGAGTTAAGTTACTCAGCTGGAGGCAGCCCCTGTGGAAATCCATGTGGAAAACATTGCTATTGACTGGAATCTTTGGATGTGCCTACACTGCAGCTCGGAGCATTCTTCTCAGTGCAGGTAGATAGACATGTGCTAGTGCTGCTTGTCCTAGCACAATACAAATTGCAGCGTAGCTGGTATAGCACAGGCGACAGCTTGGGCTGGCCATCCAATACAGCCAGATCCACTGGGTACATACTTGGGCAACTTGCCCAATCCACCACCGGTGCTACCCCAGCTACACTGCTATTTTTAAAGAGCTTTGTCACGCAGAGCTAACACATGTCTCTCTACCTGGAGTGGGGAGTCTGGTTCCAACTGCAGTGTAGACATATCCTTTGTTTTATTTATTCCCTTGCCATCTGTATTTCCACTTGTTTGTGTCTCTGTTTTTTATCACAATGCTTCACAAGAGTTCACTAAGCACTTTTAAACCAATTTCTGTTGCAGAGACTCTGTTGCAATGTTAACTACATGATCTGAGAACCTGAAATCCAGCAAACCTACAGGATTGTCAACTGACTGTTTAGGATAGTACCACGAGGTTATTCATTACCTTACCATACCTTCAAAACAAAAACGAGAAGAAGAGAAAACAGCTGAATTTTAAGCACACCAGTTGCCTGTGACATTTGTCTTCTATTCCCAAACATCATCCTTCAGCATTTTCCTTATTAAAATGAGTTAGCTTTCAGAAAGGGATTTACAAAAGAACATTGTGCAGAACAAAAGGATAAAGCCATGATTACACTATCACACTGCAAAATGTAAGCCCTCCTAATACCAAGGAAGATGTTTGTTAGTGTTTCTTTAAGAAAGCACTGTGTATTTCAGAGGTAGTATATTTCCCCTAGAATACTATACATCATGGTAACTTATATTACCAATCTTGAATTGCTTTTAAATGGAGTTCAATTTTCTGGTAGAACACCTTTAAATAATACATTCTGAATATTTTTTAAAATTCTTAACAAAAAATAAAAAAAATTGGCATGTGATTCTGCTCCTCTGCTAGGTTTGTAGGGGAGGCCAGTGGCAACAAGATAACTACGCTGAAGGCCGCTGCTTCTTCCTTTTCTCTTTGTGAGCAAATCTGCCTACTAACTACCTCTTCAGTTTCATCTTACTGCTGCTGTTACTGGTAAACACCCTTTTGAAAAACTTGGGGAAGAGTATACATTTAAGCTCTCCCTGAACACTGCATGACAGTGATGCACCTGGGGCTATCAATAAAACAGTAAAAGTGACCAATGCACAAAGTGGTGTGCAGGCTGGCACACTGGGGATTGAACTGAGGCCCTCCAAAACTGAAAGCATGAATCTCTACAGATCAAGCTAAAGAGCCCAGCTCACATATGGAGAGCTGCAACAGACTCATATCCTCAGTAGATCGGGCACAGAGGGGAAAGGTAACACACAGTTACATCAGCAAACTGGAAAAAAAAAAAAGATAAAATATTACTTCCTCTAAACTCTTTCTCTTGCATCTTAGGGGTTACTCGTAACAACAGTAGATACAATATTTTCAGAAGGAAATGTCATTTTCAAGTTGGCAGTGTCCCTTTAAATCTAGAGTGGACAGAGGAGTCCAACTTTCCATGTAAATATCCAGAATGCAAATGTGAGTTATTCCTTATGTTACTGGCATTTTTACTTTTTCCTTTTCATGAAGCTTATCTTCAGCTGATTTTACCCACTTGTGGTTTTAGTCAGTTTTCACGAATACAATGAACTAGTCATTTACACACACTGTATGGAGAAAAGGATATTAACACATATGGACATTTGAAAACTGCTGTAACATTTTTTCCTTTTGGCATCCGAAGTTAGTTGTAAATCTTAACAAGAAGTCCACTACTACTAAAATGATTCTCTCTCAGCTGGGTTAATTACACAATATTAGATACAAGAAACAAACACTGCAACACAAAACATAGCTACATCATTATTTGCAATAAATGTTAACTCTAAATAAGT